AGAATTAGCAGGGGGTTGGTTCTCCTTTGGTGTGACTGCGGACAAGCCCCACACGTCCAGGCCCCTTCCTTGTCCCCTAGCAGCCTGCCCCTTCTCTCTGCTTCACAGCAGCTCAGGGTGTTCCATCCTCTTCCACACAAACACTTTCCTGTTTTGTTTTCTTTGCTCACTCACTGTTTACAAAGTATTTAGATGACATCACCAAATCATTCTGTTAAATACAAGGAATGATTCCCTCCTCCGGGTTGGGGAACAAAAGTTGTCTAATAAGGGGCAGTTGGGGGCATTTCAACACGAAGGCACCAGCAGCGCTGACCAGAAACAAATAGAACAAGCCAAACCAGAAAGCCTTTAATTAACATTGGAAAGGACTTTTGTTGCACCAGGGGGAATCAGGAGCAAACATTCTAGAAGGACCTTGGCCATGGGAAAAGGCATTCTTGGCCAGATAACATCATAGCAAAGTCCTGTCTGTGGGGGGTTCCCATTTTAAATTCTAGTTCCAGAAAAGTGACCAAACTGCGGGAGGCAGTGGAAGACAGAAGTGCCTGGCGTGCTCTGGTCCATGGGGTCACGAAGAGTCGGACACGACTAAACGACTAAACAACAACAAATGTGGAAGCCACAGAAGGTGTCCACCATGTGGGAGGGGTGGCATGCCTCAGCCAGGAGATGCCTCATCAGAGGACGACCTGGAGGCCCCAGGATCGAAGCAAGACCTGGATCAGGCTCAGTTTGGGGGTGAGGAGCCAGGATCCTTAGATGATGCTGAAGAGGGGCTGTCCCTGAATTGGAGGGAAAGGCAGCACCTCAAATGCCAAACCCACTCCATCAGAAGACGTGCCCAACTGCAGGCAAGAGCTCCTCAGGAGTATGACTCTCCTGTAAAGGAGACCTCTGGATGAAGGCAGCTGGCAGAACACAAGGAGAACCTACTGGATCAATCCAATGGCCCATTTAGTCCAGCTTCCTAGTTTCATAATGGCCAACCAGATGCCTATCATCTGAAACCTGCAAGCAGGACCCAAGCACAAGAGTAGCCTCCTCAGGGATGTGGTTCCAGCAGCCCCACTTCAAAAAAATCCCAGTACCTGGATGGAAGTGTTGCTGGAACAACATCTTTGTACTAGCAGCACTGTGCTTTGACCCTGCTGGCTCCCTGCTCTGAATCTTTTGCCTGACTCAAGCACAACCTCGAGCTGCCCTGAGCCCTTATTTGAGCTCTGTTTGACCCTCCCTGACCCCAGGCTGGCCCTGGGTACCATTCCTGCTTGGGTCCCTGCTGGTGTTGACACTGGCAAGTTCCTGGGTGGCTTTTATCTTGTATTTTTAAGCTATGAGCCGCCCTGAGATCTATGGTTGATAGATGATTTACAAATTTAATAAATAATAATAATATTCTCCCATTCTTTTTTCTGCTGCAAAATCCAAAAAGACTTTATGGATTCCAGTATTTGGTTGCTCCCAACGCTTGCTTACCAGTCTAGTCTTGATTAGCGAGGCTTCTGAAATGTGATCTTTGTGGGTTCCAAAACACTCAAACATCCCTTTATCACCTCCCAACTAAAGTGCAGGTTGAAATTTAGTGATCCAGCACCTTTCTCACTTAGCAAATGTTCCAGTACGGTTCTTGGCTAAACCCCCTGTCCCAATCCATATCAAAATAAGTATAGAATATGTGTTTTGGAGGCAAAATACATTTAGAAATGCATACTTTGAGAGAGGGTAGCTATGGGAAAATATTTGTATTTGAATGTGAATTTTTGTACTTGAAAAATTATGGACTCACGGGAAAGTGACACTGGCCAGGAAGAAACAGTTTCACTCATCCTTAGCCATGATCCTGCAGTGGACCAAAAAGAAAGCACCTTTAAAATAAAATAAAAAAACCAGTAAAGCAGCAGCAGGATGGAGAGGAGGCGGCTGCCAAGGCAGAGGGCCCTGCCCTGCCCTGGACAAGCCCCCGGCTCCATCTGCTTAGGAATGTGTGTCAGCAGAAGTGCTGAAGCCAAAGTCAGGCTGGCATCCCTCAGGAAGGAAACGGACTTGCCAGGATGAGGAGGATGGTGGAGAGAAGGGAGGAGAGGGAGATGTGGGAATGTTCAGGGATGCAGGAGAGGATATATTGTCTGATTAGATCCTTATCCAGCTTGTGTTAACAAGTTCCACAATTTCAGCCGAGTAACATTCCCCTCTTTTAAATTTGCAGCGGATGCGTTTTGCTCAGGCTCGCTAAAGCCTCTATAATAACTGTTCTGGTATTTCCCCCTTATTCCCTCATAAAAGCTAAGACACAACACAGTCTTCTACAAAAGTATAAAAATAGTTTACTCATATTCTGTTCACAATCGGATCCCAGAAGGCAGACTTAGCTTAGAAAAGTAACATACACTTGGAAACTATTCCATAAGAAGACAGTCCCTTTGTCCTCTCTTGGCTGGAAGACAAGAGGGCATCTTTGGCTAAGCAGATGTTGCTTCTTCGATGCATGTGGTGAAAGAGAGAGAGATGGCTGCCCTGCCCTGTGCTTTTGTCGTTACCTGCACAGGTGAGGCTACACCCACCTCTAGTCACATGCAGAGGAAGTCTGTCCCAGCCCAGAAGGAAACAGGAAGTTTTCCTGCTGGCTGGACAAACATTCCCCCCAAGTGCAAACATGTTCACTCTAGGAATGTTGTACTTGACTGTTCTTGTGTTTCACATCCCACAGGAGAGACCCCTTCAAGGCAGAGATATTTCCTGCAAGGGCAGTGTTCTTGCTCTTGGCTCACTTGCCAGGAGCGTCTCAAACTCAAAGGCCCCAAACTCAAGGGCTCATTCCTGGGAAGGAATACTGCAGGGATGTGCTGGTGTCGACATGAGGTGACTTAGCAAGGAACTGTGGTGGGGGTGTGAATGGGTGAGTAAGGGCCCCAACGGAGCCCAAACTGCGACCTCCCTGTCTTGATCCAGATTCGCCTGAATGGGGTTCCCTGGGAGGAGTGGATTCCCACCCCACCCCACCCTACCCCCACTGCTGCCCATTTCCTTTATTGTTTGATGCATACAATCACATTAAGACAGCATCTTGGGGGCTCTTTATCCATGCTCACCTGTGCATCAATGGGGAGAGGAGGGGACTGAACGAAGAAGGCACTGTGACAATCTGTGGCACATGCCTCAGCCTCCGAAACAAAAACATGGACCTTACAAAATGTACCAGTGTTGGAAACTTCCCAAAATGTGGGTTCCATCTTTGGGTCAGGGACCAGGTAGTTTGGAACGGCAGGATCAGTGGAGGAATTGGGATGGGAAGGATTTTGGATCCAATCCATGGCTTCCACTTGCATTTCAACACCATCCCATGGAGCAGAGAAGCTCTGATGAGCGGAAATGTTCCTTCTATGCAGCTTCCAGCAAAGAGTTGCTGAATTGGGGTATCTGCTAGGAAGTTGTTGTGCCTCCTCCCAGCTGTGTGTTCCCATAAAATGACACACATGATGGATTCAGTTGGATGCTTTCATATATTATTTGGGTACCAGCATATTTCCAGAGTATGGGCTTGTGTGAGAGAGAGAAAGAGAATTTATACATGTGTGCCTAGCTGTGGAGTGTGTTTAACAAAGAACAAGCCTGCATTTCCCTTTCTGTATGAAATTAACATACTTTATAGTCAGCTGTAAAAAAAACATTCCTTAAGGGTATGAAGTTTATAAAAAATTCAAAATAACAAAGGAAATGTATTAAAAATTCATCTTTTAGTAGTAGTCATTGCTCTGTTTAAAAAATGGAGAGCTTTCATGAGAACACAAAACTGGAGGCATCCATTTTATATATAAGGGGGGGGTGTTTGCGTTGGGGAAGGAACAATGGATGCCAGAGGAATCCAGGCCCTCTGTCCTCCACCTGAACATTTCTCATCTCACCTGCCGGTGGCTCAGAAAAATATGAGAGCGTCCAGTCCTTGCAAGGCTTGACACTGGCGGGTCCAGTATTGGATTTGCCCCATCAGGCAACCTGCAAGGAATAAGTTGGTCTCACATCTTTCTGTAAGGAATTTGGTGTGATGGCCCTCAACATACAGTGCTCCTCTTTGCCCTTGTTTCAGCGTGAAAGCCATCTTTTGGGCAGAGTCCAGCAAAGAACCCTCCTGGCCTACGCAGAGTCACCACTCTGGTCCCCCTTTCGTTTCAGGGGAACCTGCAGCAGCTGCCTCCCCAATTGCTCCATTCTGATCTGGTTCTGGCGCATTCAGCAAAGCCTGAGCTGCTGCTGGCAGAGGCAGGAGAAACCGGTGATGAGCAGGGAAGCTCCAGAAGCAAATCCCTGGCCTTAAATACCCCAAACTCTACAGAACTTTCTCGGCAGGAAGCAAAAACCAGGGAGCTTTCCACGGCAAACAGGCTCATAAAGACACAAATCCTTCTATGGCCTCGTAAAGGCATTTAAGCTCCCACTTAAACCTTTGCCACTCTCCACACCCGCCAGACGAGCAGGAACACCAGCCATTACTATAAACCTATAATTGCATAAAGCCGGGTGACTAACAACCTCTATAAAAGGAAACCAAGGAATGCCGTAAAGGGGGTTTATAAGGCCGCAGGGATGGTTTTAACGTAGTGAGTGGTCCTGAACTCCCTCTGAACATGGTGGCGGCTGCAGACATTCCCTCCTCCAAGTGCTTCTTAAGAGCTGCACATTACAAGGGCCTTGAAAGCCCTCGACACATCGCAAAACCAGCCCATGCTCAGCTGCTCCTGAGCCACTCGGCAGACGGCTGACTTGGGCTCCTTGAGGAGTGCCACAACCCCCTGGGACAATGCCCAGGACCAATGGACAGCCAATTACAAAACTCCACAAACTTAAGATGCTTGGGAGGGAAGGGCCCTTGGGAGAGACTGCTGCACTCAGGATCACAGGAAGCTTGCCTTACACAGAGCCAGACCACTGGTCCATTTAGCTTAACTCTGCCTACACGACTGGCAGCAGTCAGGCAAGAGACATTCCCATGCCTACCCAGAGGGCTGCCATTGGGGAATGAACCAAGGGCCTTCTTCATGCAAGGCAGGTGCTCAGCCACTGAGCCCAGGCCCAGCCCTGCTCTCCAGGAATCTCTTTGACCTGGAGGTTGTCCGCCCTCGAGCCTGAGATAGGAAAGGTCAGGTGAAGAGGTGGGCTCTTTGCCCTTGGGCTTGGCATTTGTTCTATCCCTCAGCTCTACCACCCTTCTGTAGAGCTTCCCTCCCACCTTGACCTGCAAAAGCAGCGAGGGCATTGGGCTTCCCATTCCCCTCCGCTTTTACTGAGATGCTTCCCAAAGTTTGGTCCAGGGTGGAGGAGGAGGAAGAGGAGGAGAAGGTGATGTTTCAGAGAGCTCACTTCTTTCCCTGAATCTCCTTTCACCCTCCACTCTTCTTTCATCCTTTTATTTCCTCTCCCACTCTCTCCTCCAGTGATCAGGGCAACCATGAGGCTGGTGCCACTGTGAGGACGCTGCGTTGGTGACTGGCCCCCAGCAGCTCCTCGGCCGCTCCATCCAGTGAAATCCCAAGCCCTGGTGGAGCTGCAGAGCAAACTTCCAAGCCTCTGCAAATCTGCATCAGGAGATGAAAAGAGCAGCTGAGTTGAGAGCAGCTTCCAGTGAGGAGCATTTGCATTTCACACGAGGCTCTCCTTCCTTCCCCACCATCTCGTTTAATGTTTTCAGAGAATCTCATTATGGAGCCCTTGAATATCTTTGAATGTGAACCTTTCTCTGCCACTTAAGCAACACTTCTCAAATCCAGGCCGATAAGACCAGAGAGCTTCCTGAAAGGGAAAAGCTGGATTAGCCACAGACCTTTTAGTGCAGACATAGGCAAACTTGGCCCTCCAGATGTTTTGGGACTACGACTCCCATGATCCCTAGCTAACAGGACCAGTGCTCAGGGATGATGGGAATTGTAGTCCCAAAACATCTGGAGGGCCAAGTTTGCCTATGCCTGTTTGAGTGACAGGGCAGCTCACCAAGAGGGTCCCAAAGGTTCTGGTTGACTTGAAGGGCTTTGGAAGTGCCCAAGCCTGCCCTATGTTGGGCTGGAATCATGCTCCAGCCTCTGCAAGCTTGGTGCCTGATCCAATCCCGAGGTGCCACTCCAGGGCAGGTCCCCTGCCACCAATTAGGTGATGGAAGACATGCCACCGTCTCCAGATGAGAAGAGCCCTGCAACTGGAGCCCAGCATCCTGTCCCCCCCTGGGGGGCCCAACCTGGTGTCCCAATGAGAAGCAAAGAAGCAGAACTTGAGGGCAGTGGCAGCAGCAGTCCTCCTCTCCTCGCCAGAGCTCCCAGCAGCCCTGGTCCAGAGGAATAGCAGCTGCAGCACTGGCGGAAGCCTCCTCCTCAATTAATCCGCCTTGGCCCCTTTCTTAGCCTGGAGAAGAGGTGGTTAAGGGGTGATATGATAGCCATGTTCAAATATATAAAAGGATGTCACATAGAGGAGGGAGAAAGGTTGTTTTCTGCTGCTCCAGAGAAGCGGACACGGAGCAATGGATCCAAACTACAAGAAAGAAGATTCCACCTAAACATTAGGAAGAACTTCCTGACAGTAAGAGCTGTTCAACAGTGGAATTTGCTGCCAAGGGGTGTGGTGGAGTCTCCTTCTTTGGAGGTCTTTAAGCAGAGGCTTGACAACCATATGTCAGGAGTGCTCTGATGGTGTTTCCTGCTTGGCAAGGGGTTGGACTCGATGGCCCTTGTGGTCTCTTCCAACTCTAGGATTCTATGATTCTATGATTAAATCTGCCCCACCGTGGCCATCACTCTACATATAATCATTCCATGGTGGAGTTGGAGGAGATCCCAAGGTTTGTCCCTTCCACCCTCTGCAATGCAGGCAACACAGCAAGAGAATCCCTGGCAAGTAGCCATTCGACCTCTGTTCAAACACCTCCAATGAAGAAGGGTCCATCACCTCCCAAGGGAGCCTGTGAGGGTCTATATCTTGTGGTGGTGAGTCCCATAGGCGCTGCCGTGTGGAGAAGGACCTTCCTTTTCCTTCTCCCAAATCTTCTGACATTCAGCCGGCTTCTACTTTTATATGAGAGATGGAGAGAGGAACCATCCATGTCAATTTCTCTACACGCTACATAGTTTTATGCAGCTCTATAATTCCCACATCCCACCTGCCTTTTCACTAAACTAAAGAGCCCTAAATGTTGCCAGCCTCCTTTGCAGAGACTTTTGCTCCAGCCCTTGATCAGCTGCATTGCCTTCTCCTGAACTTTTTCCAGCTCTGCAGCCTCAGTCTCCCTCCACCTGCAATGGGAACAATGAAGCAGGCCTACCTGCCAGGAGATGCTGACATAACATCCATTCCAACATTTTGCCACCCTTGATAGGAATATATCACATCTGTAAATAATACTAATCATTAGGCAGTCATACCTTGGTTTATGAACAGCCTAGTTCCCAAACATTTTGGCTCCCAATTGAAACCCAGAGGTGACTGTTCCAGATTTTGAATGGTCTTTTGGAAGCTGAACGTCCGAAGGGGCATTGGAAGTCCAACGGACTTCTGGAACCGATTCCGTTCGACTTCCAAGGTACGACTGTAAATTAATCATACATACACACACACAGAAAGAGAGAGAGAGAGAGAGAGAGAGAGAGAGGGAGAGAGATTCTACATAGAATCTCTTGGCCTAATAATTAATTAATTAGTTTTTATTAAAATAAATGAACTGTTTGGGACTTCCGGAGGTGGTGCCAGCGGTTAATGGTGGATTTCCTCGATCGGAGGAAATCGCTCCACGAAAAATAGGGTCGGATCCCGCTTTGGCGCAGCGGGGGACCCTGGAAATCACGGGCGGGGGAAGCCTGTGAACTTGGGACCCAGTGGGCACGTTTGGCGCCCCCCCAACCCGGTAAAGAGCCCGGCAACGGGTTCGGAATCGGAGTGGGGGAAGGAGCGCTGTGCTGTGGGCTGTCTGCTTCTTTCGTGGAGTGAAGCCGCAAGCTGTGACCGGAGACTGCTGCCTTTTTTCCTTGGAAATTCAGTTTGAAAATCAATGATCCGTGAGTAGGATTTAATACAACTGGAACTGTACAAATTGAGAATTCGGCTGAAAGCGGAGAGGTATAAAAAGGAAGTCTGCCTCTCTCTATTGTAGATAGAACAAAGCATTGAACTTGAAAGCGGAAGCTTAGAAAAAGACGCATGAACGGACTTTAATCCAATCATCTAACCTGGACTTTTCCCCCCTTAATTTGAGGGAAAAGGGGGGGAACTTTGGAATGTTATTTCTTCATGAAGAGGGGAAAAATAAAGGAGATAAAAACCATCGCTCAATTCCTTGGGAACGGATTCCCAGAGGCAATTTAAAATTGGAGAAGAGGTACTGTCTTTAAATATATTTTGACAGCTAGTCCTGCACAGGAAATACAATTTGGATACAATATTGTGGATAAATATCTCCTGGTCTTAAAGTAACTGTTTAAGATAGATTGTTATCTTCCTGACAAACTGGGGGGACTTAAAAAAGAAATAAAGTACTTAAGAACTTTTTTGACTGTTACAGTGTCCCCCTAGTGGAACTTGGAATTGTTACAATTAGTTACAACTACAATTGCAGCTGGCCTGAGGATTTTCTCACACGGCCCTGTTGAAATTTTCCACTTCAAAACAAGTTTGAACTTAACTGTGTGACCGACCTTGAGCTTTATCTAAAGGGGTATGGCAGATGGGAAAGAGAAACTAGAAGCGTTACAGGCAACAAGGTCAGGCAGAGTTTTGCGAACAGAAGGTGGACTACAAAGAAGACCTTCGACCTCTGGCCCCTCTGGGATTCCAACAGCAGCCCCATCGGCACAACCTAAAGTTAAAGGTATGGCAAGTGATGATACCTTTGCTCAAGTTTTGGCTAAAGTTAATGAATCTTTGAATAGAATAAGTCAACAAGTAGCAGAGGCATCAGACAAGATTGACCAAAATACAATAAGTATCAACCAAAATACTACAAGTATTAATCAGAATACAGCAAGTTTAAACAATTTGGGCCAGAAAGTAAATACTAATACAGAGACTATTCAGAAATTACTAGAGGAATCGGCCTCAATACGCCAGATTGCCGAGGAGGCCAAAGAAATTGCTACAGCGTCTGTCACAGAGGTTAAAGAGGTTCAAGAGAAAATACCACCATTACATAAACAATTGGAAGACCATAAATTGACCCTGTCTATGATTGAGTTGAAAGAAAAACAAGTGAATCTACGGGTCAGATCGGTACCTGAAGTGGAGAAGGACAATCTAGCTGAATTTCTCATGCAGGAATTTTCTGACTTTTGGAATCCAGAATTGGTAAAAGACAGCTTTAAAATAGTGAACGCCTTTAGACTTGGAAAAAGAGGAGAGAAGAAGGTGAGAGACTGTTTGATCACTCTTCGAACAAAAGAAGAGAGGGATAAGATCCTGGGTTTGCATTTCCAGAAGACACTGGAAATACATCAGACAAGAGTTGAGATATTTAAAGACATTCCGAAACACCTTCTGGATCTCAGATTAAACTACAAAGATCTGGTTACTTTGCTGAGAAGTAACAGTATTAACTTTAGGTGGGAATTTCCTCAAGGCCTATCTTTTAGCTACAAAGGAAAGAAGAGGAAAATAAGATCGGAAGACGACAAAGACAAATTCTGGAGAGACCACGGAGAAGACCTACAAAAAGGACTATCTCCGGAACCAAAAGACCGTTTGAAAAAAGCGATACCACTGACGGAAGAGGAACAGGCACTAGGTGCAGTAGGAGGAGAACTAAAACAATAACATCATGGCCATGCAACTACTAACTTGGAACTGTCATGGTTTGAATTCCCCTCAGAAAAGGAAATCAGTATTTCATATATTAAAAAAGGAACAATTGGACTTAATTTGTTTACAAGAAACACATATAACAAGATTACACAGGAAATTGTTGATAAATAAAAGACTTGGTCAGGAGTTTATTTCATCGGACAAAGTTAAAAAAAGAGGGGTTGTGATTTATGCAAAGGACAGATTATCACCGAAATTTGTTTTTAAAGATGACCAAGGAAGATTTGTGGCAATTGAAATTCAAA